ATTGACACTTAGTGGCCTTCCACCCTCCCGAGTTACCTAGGGTGATGCCTAGTGACGTCAACATATTCAACCTAGTTTTTGACACCCATTTTGGCTCATTAATTTTTGGTTCCACACTTTTCTTGTTTACCAATCATGGTATCAATACAGTCCTTGAGTTATATCATGAGGCCTTTTTGTCTAGATTAATGCAGTCTTTCTGTCTCGCTTTTGCACCTTTTCCCATCAACGTTTGTTGTGATAAGTGATTGTGACATCTCGTGAATTTACACTCACTTTTCACAGCTAATCTCACAATTAGGGTAAATTTGTAGGCCCAATTATCACAAGAAGTCTTAATTTAGTTATAAAAGCATTGACTAAACCTTAATTGATGTCTATATTTGACAGTGAAGATAAACTATCACTGTAACAGGCCAGGCCTTCCTTGGGTATCCCCTTGTGACAGGAAGTTGCCCTGCAGGCTCCCAGCCTCAGTCCCTCCCCCAGGGTCCCTCCTGGTACTTCTCCAACACACTCTCGGGCTCAGAACACCTTTTTCATGGGGTAGTTGATTATTATACATGTCTCAAAGACATTAGTAGTGAATTCCCATCTTGTAACTCAGACAGCTCTGTCTCAGCATCCTTTTTCACTCTCAATCTTCCTTTAAACTGAGCGATCCTGGGTTTATCCCCATTATGCTCTAATGGCATCCAAAGGTTCAAATGAAGCAATAACACAACCAATGGCTGCCTGCCCTGGGCTAAATAAGACTCATGTCCATCCTGGGTTGTTTCCCAGCTCCCTGCCACACTTCTGGCTCCAGAGTCTCCATCTTGTGCTGTCCATGCCTCCCTGCTTCTGTTCGGTCTCTCCTTTTTCCTAGCTCCCAAGCCTCCTTATGTAGCTCCTGTTCCCAGGTGCTGTCCCTCCACCTAACCAGGACCAGCCAGGGTGCACCTGTTCAGTCAAAAGAGGACTGAGACCCTCTCCATTAATGGGGCTCAGTCACCCTGTGATAATTACCTTAGCCAGAAGAGTCATTACTGTGCGAGCTTGGGCAAGTCACTTCTCTCTGTGCCTCTGTTTTCCCTTTCCCACTTCGTTTGACTTGTCTTATTTAGGTTGTAAGCTCTTTGGGGCCGGGGCCATATCTTGCTATGTGTGTTTACATCTTGCTGTTTCCTAGTGCAATAGGGTCCTGATCACAGCTGGGGTCTCGAGGTGCTACTGTAATACAGACAATGATAGTAAAAGAGGAAAAGATACTCTTGTTGAATGGGAGAGAAAATAAAAGCAAGGGAGACACAGTACATTCATAAATTATTTTTAATGTAAAGTTTAATGGTATAATACACACAAAATAGATGTCTGATGTGCAAAAAGTTGTATTTTTGAGGAAAACCAAGAGCCTGATTAATAATCAAGGTGATGAGGAATGGAGATGGGAAAGCAAAATAAAATAGAATGGGAGGGGAAACACGGGTGGAAATACAGTGGGATGGGGAGGGGGGTGAAGAGTTTGCTTTTGCATCATGTCTTGGGGCCTGAAACTCTAGTTACGTCCCTCTGAAACTGACGTGCAGGTAGTCATTTTTACTGAACTTTCTAGGCTTGGGGAAACCCTTTCTTCATGAGCAACACAAGTGTGATCCTTGATGCTGTTACAGGGAATGAAGTCAAAGATGAGATCCTTGCTCAACTCATCTCTCACACCTAGCAGCAGTATAGGATTGTGCCTGTGATAATCTGGCTCAGACTGTCTCCATAGCTCAGGTGGGGAGTGGGAAACTGACTAGCTTATGTCAAGTAACACTGCTGCTTCTGCTGGCTGTTGGGAAGACACTGTACACGGGAACGGCAGAACTGGAGCAGTCGCCTATAGACTTGTCCTGACAGAATTAAAGTTTACTGTTCAGTAGCAACAGTTCACATCAGGGTGAGGCAAGTTTTCAGGTTGATTTGAGAATTGTTTTCTAGAATGAGGATACCCCTAGAAAGCAGAGGTCAGTCTAGGCTGCATAAATCTCAGAATGCAAGGTCAGATTCTGATCTCACATTAGTTCTATGCCAGAGTAACTCTACTGGAGTTACTACTGATTTATACCAATGTAACTGAGAAAGAGGATCAGGTCTCAAGTGTATGACCCCAACACTATCTAGAAAAGACTAACGCAAGGATATAATTTTATTTGGCAATTGAACTGTTTCTAGGCGCAATTTTAAAATTTTGTTTTTCTTCCAGGATTTTACTGTATTTGGAGGGAGTTTGTCCGGTGCTCACGCCCAAAAGATCTGCAAGGTAAACATTTTAGAGGAAAAAAGAGCAAGTTGCCAGTGCCTCTCTGGCAATATGTTGTGCTACTGCCTTGAGTAACCAGATCTGAGAATGGCTTGGACCAGGGTGGATAAAAATCAAAGTTTAAAAAAAATAAAATGAAAAAAAGACCGATTTTTTTTTATTTAAATCGGATTTTTGATATTTTTTTCCTCAAAAAGAATTTTATCTAAAGATAGTTTTAATTAAGATACATTATAGTTCAAA